CTGGATACCTAACTAGTATCAGTAATGGATTAATCAATTTCCCTAGTTTCCATTCGTTTGGTCTTCCATGTCTTCAATCCAGCTTTCACAGTATTTCCAAGATATAAGATAAAAGTGAGGGAGGGGCTTCCCATTTCCAGATAGGATGTTGAAGGACATGAAAACTTCATTCCCATGGTAACAACGATTATGATAACAATAATTAAACCCTGTGATACATATAATGATAAAGTTAAAATTATACTTCTCTATGGAAATATTTAAAAGTTTTGTGGATCAAAGTCTTCCTTGAGTGAAAAGAGCCACTCATAGATGAGCAGAAATCTGTAGCTGCTTCCGTACCTGGGGCAAATGACTGACCTGGGAACAGATGCAGAGAAAAAAAAAAAGGGCCTTCTATAGATGATTGGACTGCAAAGAATACAAAAAGCCAGAATTCTACATCTACCAAAAATATTTTAATATAAAGGTAAATAAATTTGTCATTGGCAGATATGGTAAAGGAGGTTTTTAAGCTGAAGGAAATAGCACCAGATGGAGCCTAGATATCTCGTAAGAATGAAAAGCATTGGAAAGAATAATTATGTGGGTAAATATAAAAGATTATTTTGTCTTAAAATCCCTAAGGATTCATTTAATTTTTAAATTAAAACTAATTGTATTATGGAGTTTATAACATGTAGAGAAAAATATATGACATTAGTAACAAAGGATGGGAGGGACATAAACAGAATTACGTTATAATGTTGTAAGTTTCTTTCATCATAAGATAAATGATGTAATAATAATTAGAAGTAGATTGTGGGCCAGCCCCAGTGATACAGCGGTTTGGCACCGCCTGCAGCCTGGGGTGTGATTCTCAAGACCCAGGATTGGGTCCCGCATCGGGCTCCCTGCATGGAGCCTGCTTCTCCCCCTGCCTGTGTCTCTGCCTCTCTCTCTCTCTCTGTGTGTGTCTATGAATAAATAAAATCTTAAAAAAAAAGTAGATTGTGATGAATTATAGATGCATATTATAATCCCTAGAAGAACCACTAAAAATAATAAAACAGAGGTGAAGGTAAGTAGCCAAAAAGAAGATAAAATAAAACACTAAAAAATATTTTATTTTCTCAGGCAGCCCGGGTGGCTCAGCGGTTTAGCACTGCCTTCGGCCCAGGGTGTGATCCTGGAGACCAGAGATTGAGTCCCACGTCAGGCTCCCTGCATGGAGCCTGCTTCTCCTTCTGTCTGTACTTCTGCCTCTCCCTGTGTCTCTTATGAACAAATAAATAAAATCTTTTAAAAATTTTTATTTCCTCAAAGGACAGAAAAGAGAAATAATGGAAAAAAGACAGAAGGGCAAACTGAACAAAAAAAAAGTAAACATACACATAACTATTAATGGCTATACTAAATGTAAATGAAACAAACATCACATCACCCACCTACCCCAATAAAGGGCGGATATTGTGAGACAAAATTTAATGTTGTCTCTATATGTTGTTTATAAGAGATGCACTTTAATTATAAAAACATATACAAATAGATTGACAGTAAATGAAGGGAAAAATAATTTTATCAAAATGCTAATCTCAAGAAAGCTATCATGAGATAAAGTGGACATCAAGACAAGGAGATAGATAGGCAATTCCAAATTAGAAAAGAATCACTTTATTTGAAAGGTATATAAAATCCTATACAGGTACAGACCTAATAAGAGATATTGAAAATATAGAAAGCAAAAAAGGAAATGAAAGAAATAGATAAATATGCAATCATAGCTACAGATTCATTTCTCCTCAATAACTGATCAAATAGGCAAAAATTGTTAAGTATATAAAAACCTTAAGCAACTCTCAACCTAAATTGGCCTGACATAAAGAGACATCTGCACCATACAAAGGAAAATATGCATTTTTCAAGTGGACCTGGAATATTCACAGGCATAGTGGATTCTAAAGGACTTATATCAAGCAGAATATGTTCCTTGATCATAAAAAAGTTAGAAATCAATAACAGGGATCCCTGGGTGGCGCAGCAGTTTGGCGCCTGCCTTTGGCCCAGGGCGTGATCCTGGAGACCCAGGATCGAATCCCACGTCAGGCTCCCGGTGCATGGGGCCTGCTTCTCCCTCTGCCTGTGTCTCTGCCTCTCTCTCTCTCTCTGTGTGACTATCATAAATAAATTTAAAAAAAAAGAAATCAATAACAGAATATGTATTAATGTCCCTAAATATTTGGAAATTAGGACTATCTCATGGCTTAAAAAACAAATCACAGGGAAATTTTTAAATACTTTCGAACTGCAAGTATAAACACAAAATACCAAATTTGTGAGATGTTGTTTAATATTTAAGGGTAAGATTTAGAACATTAGTAGTTATATTAGAAAACAAACGATATCAAATCAATAAACGTTGCTAAGACACTAAAAAAAGAATAGTGTAACACAAAGTAAACAGAAGGAAAGGAATAGTGACAGAAGTGAATGAAATAGAGAGCAAACTATGAGTATATCAACAAAATCACAAGATAGTTCTTAAAAAAAATTACTAATAACTGTAAAACCCTCATAAGATTGATCCAGAAGGAAAAAAGTAACCAATATAATAAATGAAAAAAGGAATATCACTATGGATTTTCTACAGACATCAAATATAATAAAGACTTGAACAACTATATGCCTATAAATTGACAGAATAGATGAAATTAAAAGATTTCTTGAAAGAAAAAATTATATAACTGACACCAAACACATTGGAAAATATAAATAGCCTCCTATCTTTAAAAAAAATTGTATTCAAAATTGAATAGCCAAAACAAAGAAAACTGCAGGGTTCAAATAACTTCACTGATTAATTCTATCAAACATTTAAGGAGGAAAAAACATTAATCTTATGTAAACAACTTCAGGGAATAGAAAAAAAGAGGGATATCTTCCCAATTGCTTATTTGAGACCAATCCAATCAGATTGTTGGACTAGATTTTTTTTAAAAAAATCAAGATTTAATAAGAACCAGGTGGAAAACCAGAGAAGAAATAGAAGACTTGAAAAATGCTGTGATCAAAAACCTCTATACTGAAATCTACAAACTACTGCAGAAAGAAAATTTTAAAAGATCATTTATTTAATGGAGGAGAACAGCATCTTTATGGGTTGGGAGACTGAATGTTTTTTAAATGTTTATTCTTCCAAAATTATCTTGGATTTATTACAGTCCAATAAAAATCTGGCATATTCTTTTGTAGAAATTGACAAATTGATTCTGAAATTCATTTGGAAGTGCAAAGAATCTGAGATGATTAAAACACTCTTGGAAAGAAAAAGTTGGAGTGTATTACTACCTGACTTCAAGATGTACTATAAACCTACATTAATTAGTGTGTTAATCAAAAAAAGATAGGCAAATAGGGGCACGTGGGTGACTCAGTGGTTAAGCATCTGTCTGCCTTTGGCTCAGGTCATGGTCCTGGGGTCTTGGGATTGAGTCCCACACCAGGCTCCTGGCAGGGAGCTTGCTGTGTCCCTCTGCCTGTGTCTCTGCCTCTCTCTCCATGTCTCTCATGAATAAATAAAATTTTAAAAAGAAAAAGATAGGCAAATAAACCAATGACTACAGAATATAAAGTCCAGAAATAAACCTACACTTATGTGGCAAATTTATTTTTTTCTAAGGCACTAATAAAAATCAATGAAGAAAGGAAAATCTTTTTAAACAAATTACGATGGAAAAACTGGACAAACATATAGGGGAGAAGTGGACCTTAATCTTTTCACACCACAATCAAAATTAATTTGAGATGAAATATAGTCCTAAAAATGAAAGCTGAAAATTAAAAAGCTTCTTAAAGAAAACAATAATATCTTCATGACCATGGAGTAGGCAAAGAAGACTCACATAGGAATTCAAAAAAAAAAAGAAATTACAAAGGAAAAAAAATGATAAATTGTCCTTCAAGGAAACAAATCTGATCATCAAAAGACATTTCATTTTCACTAAGAAAATGACAAGACACATGGGAAGAAAATATTCACAATACCTACTTCCAACAAAAAACTCTGAAATATATAAAGAATTCTATTCAAGCTTTGGCACTAGCTTAGTTCTGTAACCTTAAAACAGTTTAAACTCTGAACTGACAGTTTCTTATCTGTAAAACATAAAAGTTTGGCTAGAGTACCACAGCAGATGTTTTCTGAAATTCTATGATTTTTTTGAATCCACAGCAAGTTTATTCATAGAAATTACATAAAGGAGGTGGTGGCAAGGAATATGAACAAAGATCGTTTTGGTAATTAACAATAGCCCTTAAGTACTTTTGGGTAGGGAGATTTACATCAAAGTAGAAACTCTGAATATTTAATTATAAAGAAAAAGTATACAAGAATCTCTAACAAGGATAGGAAAACCATATTAAGGATATTTTACAAATACCATAGGAATGCAGGCTGGCAGATAATGAGAATTATAAAATGTTTATTAACCTATTGTGCCTATCCTTGTATTTATCAGTAGAGTGACGGAATATTAAAAATAAGAGAAAAATGTAGTGATTATAAGAAGGAATTTGATACTATCAAATCAATATGTACTATACAACACTGCCTTTTTATAACTAAGTATAATACTTAAATTTGTAGCATCCCCTTAATGTTCTTTATAAAAGCCAGTAAGCATTTCTTTTGAAAGTAGAAGATTTGATTAGCTCTTTCTAAAATACCCCTTAGAAGTTGTATTATTTTTGGCCTATTTTCAGATGAAACTAGGTCATCTATTAAAGTAGCTGTTTTGCATGAAAAAAATTAAAAATATTTTATATTTTCTACCATTATATGTTAGTTATTGCTCCTTATTGTACCTGGTATCACTATTGAAACAAATTTTCAGAATCATTATCATGAGACTAGAAAAGTTTTCACAAGGGAAGAAAAACCTTTTTAAACTTTCAGGAATAAATAAGAATTATCTACAAAGTGTTAACAAAATTTATCTCATTTCTTATCATTTCACTTTCAGGTTTAACTGAGCTAAATGACAGTCCAGTTCCCCTGGAACTTGAGCGCTGCAAGTCTCCCACTTCAGGTAAACATGAATGGTACCTTTCAGTCTTCTGGTAATTCACTGCAGTAATATACTGCTTTATTTTCATAATTCTTACAACGTGAAATTCATAATTTTAGTAATTGTAATTTAGTTTCTGAAATTTAATCATAAGTAAATTTCATTCTATAATCAATTAGAGGGATGCCTAAGTTGCTCAGCGGTTGAGCATCTGCCTTTGGCTCAGGACATGATCCTGAAGTTCTGGGATTGAGTCCCACATTAGGCTCCCTGCATGAAGCCTGCTTCTCCCCATGCCTGTGTCTCTGCCTGTCTCTCATGAATAAATAAAATTTTAAAAAATGATAATAAAATCAATTAGAAATAAATGTCTTTAAAAATATTTTTGGCTTCCCAAACAAGACCAAAGTTATGAGTGCACTACTAAAGAGACATTTTAAGGGAAGATTTTTTTTTTCACAGATGTATAAATAATGCTAAGTAAAAACTGGTAATGTTATACAGAAACTCTGTCTTCTTATAGCTAGAGTTGAATCAGTAAGAGAATGTGAGTATAAAGATTCTTGAATCAGTAAGAGAATGTGAGTATAAAGATTCCTAGAGGGATGCTTGGGTGGCTCAGCGGTTGAACGTCTGCCTTTGGCTCAGGGCATGATCCTGGAGTCCCACATCGGGCTTCTTGCATGGAGCCTGCTTCTCCTCCCTCTGCCTTTGTCTCTGCCTCTTTGTCTCTCATGAATAAATAAAAATCTTTTAAATAAAGATTCCTAGGAATAAGTCTTTAAGGTATGCAAAAAAATGTTAGTAGTAGAAATTGTTGGGTGTTATGAATGGTTAGCCTATTTTTTAAAATTTATTTATCTGATCTTTCTCCAATGCTTAAATATGTAAATTTTAAGCAAAAATGTTAGGTACATCCTTGATATTGAACTATAGATGTGTTTTCATAGAGAATTGAAAATTATTTTTTTATTTTAACTTCACACAAATATATAAACATTTAATACCTTATAAAGGAATTAATTCTGTCTTTTAGAAAATCATTTAGAACTATGACATTTCCTCAATTTACTGTCTTAAGAATTGTTAGTTGTTTTTCTTTATTCTTCAGGAATGTAGGCTACATAGAATCTAGTTGTGTCCTGTGTAAATTTTTGTTTTAATCATATCTATTTAATCTTTATTTTACTGCTTTTATTTTCAACATGATCCCATACATTTATCCTTTCTTTGGCATTTCTATTGGCACCATCCTAATTTAGGCATTTGTTACTCCACCTTTAGTATATCACAAAAATGTTCTAACATGTGTCTCTGCTATTCATCTCTCAGTCTTACAATTCATTTTGCATATCAGGTTGTAAAATTAATCTCCTTAAAATATTACTTTGATATTTTCTGTTAGAAATTTTCACTATAAGTTCAATATTCTATATCAATTTAAATAACTTCACTTTAAATGTCAAAAAGAAATGGAATTTAAAGTCTCGCCTCCTACCCTTCACCATATACTGTCTCTATCCTTTTTTACTTCCTTTTTGGAAAAAAAAAACAGCTACTTTCTTATTTATCCTTTCAGTTTGTTTGTAAAAAAAACCAAAAAGATCTATATTCTTTTTTGCTTCCTGTTTTGTACACAAGTAGTATATGAATTACACCATACTTTGTTTCACTTTATTATGTATCTTGTCTTTCCATCTGATTACATAATGATAGTTGTATGATATTTAATTGCATGTACCATAACTTAGTCATTTCACCAATTAAAGGACACTTGATTTGCTACCAAACTTCTTCCATAGCATATAATGCTACAGTGACTAACACTTGTACATTCATTTTAAATGTGTACAGGTATATCTATAAGATAAATTCCTAAATTTGGAGCTAAGTCAAAGAGTGTATGCCTATCTAATCTTTATAAATTCTCCCAATTTTCTCTCCTTCCAGCAACATACAAATATTGGTTATTTTTTTAATTTCGTAAGTCTGTTAGGGAAGAAAGGATGTGTCCATGTAGTTTCTTTCAATTTACCTCTCATGAAAGTGATATTGAATACCTTTTCAATTGTTTAAGAACTCTTTAATATTTTTGTAGTAAATCACCTATTCATAAAATTTGCCCATATTCTATAGTTTATCCCTTTCATATCAATTTTACTGCCTCTTTACAAATTAAGATTACCCTTTTATGAGATCCAAATATTTTTCTCAGTTTAACTTTGCTTGTGGTATCTCTTCTGCATTCAGATATTTCTTTTTTTTTTATTTTTATAAATTAATTTTTATTTGTGTTCAATTTACCAACATACAGAATAACACCCAGTGCTCATCCCGTCAAGTGTACCCCTCAGTGCCCATCACCCATTCACCCCCACCCCCCACCCTCCTCCCCCTCCACCACTCCTAGTTCATTTCCCAGAGTTAGAAGTCTTTATGTTCTGTCTCCCTTTCTGATATTTCTCACACATTTCTTCTCCCTTCCCTTATATTCCCTTTCGCTATTATTCATATTCCCCAAATGAATGAGAACATACACTGTTTGTCCTTCTCCGGTTACTGTGGCCAAGTTCAAAAAGGGTGTTGCCTGAGTTCTCCTCTGGGATTTTGATGGAATCTTGTCTCACATTTAGATCTTTCATCTATTTTGAGTTTATCTTTGTGTATGGTGCAAGAGAGTGGTCCAGTTTCATTCTTCTGCATGTGGATGTCCAATTTTCCCAGCACCATTTATTGAAGAGACTGTCTTTCTTCTAGTGGATCGTCTTTCCTCCTTTATCGTATATTAGTTGAGCATAAAGTTCAGGGTCCACTTCTGGGTTCTCTGTTCTGTTCCATTGATCTATATGTCTGTTTTTGTGCCAGTACCACACTGTCTTGATGAACACAGCTTTGTAGTACAACCTGAAATCTGGCATTGTGATGCCCCCAGATATGGTTTTCTTTTTTTAAAATTCCCCTGGCTGTTTGGGATCTTTCCTGATTCCACACAAATCTTAAAATAATTTGTTCCAACTCTCTGAAGAAAGTCCATGGTATTTTGATAGGGATTGCATTATACGTGTAAATTGCCCTGGGTAACATTGACATTTTCACAATATTAATTCTGCCAATCCATGAGCATGGAATATTTTTCCATCTCTTTGTGTCTTCCTCAATTTCTTTCAGAAGTGTTCTGTAGTTTTTAGGGTATATTTTGAGACCCATTTGAATGGTAAATGGTTCTCCAACCTTTTATTTTCAGGTTGTAGGTGTCCTTCTGTCTAAAATGAGTCTCTTGTAGACAGCAAATAGATGGGTCCTGTTTTTTTATCCAGTCTGAAACTCTGCGCCTTTTGATGGGGTCATTAAGCCCATTCACGTTCAGAGTTACTTGAACTTCTTCTTAAAGGGGAGTTTTAAGAGTCCCCCTTAAAATTTCTTGCAGAGCTGGTTTGGAGGTCACATATTCTTTCAGTTCCTGCCTGTCTTGGAAGCTCTTTATCTCTCCTTCCATTTTGAATGAGAGCCTTGCTGGATAAAGTATTCTTGGTTGCATGTTCTCATTTAGGACCCTGAATATATCCTGCCAGCCCTTTCTGGCCTGCCAGGTCTCTGTGGAGAGGTCTGCTGTTACCCTAATATTCCTCCCCATGAAAGTCAGGGACTTCTTGTCTCTTGCTGCTTTAAGGATCTTCTCTTTATCTTTGGAATTTGCAAGCTTCACTATTAGATGTCGAGGTGTTGAACGGTTTTTATTGATTTTAGGGGGGGATCTCTCTATTTCCTGGATCTGAATGCCTGTTTCCCTTCCCAGATTGGGAAAGTTTTCAGCTAGGATTTGTTCAAATACATATTCTGGCCCTCTGTCCCTTTCGGCGCCCTCGGGAACCCCAATTAAGTGTAGGTTTTTCTTCCTTAGAGTGTCATTTATTTGCCTTAATCTGTCTTCATGGTCCCTTAATTGATTGTCTCTTTTTTCCTCAGTTTCCCTCTTTGCCATTAACTTGTCTTCTATGTCACTCACTCGTTCTTCCACCTCGTTAACCCTCGTCGTTAGGACTTCTAGTTTGGATTGCATCTCATTCAATTGATTTTTAATTTCTGCCTGATTGGATCTAAATTCTGCAGTCATGAAGTCTCGTGAGGCCTTAATGCTTTTTTCTAGAGCCACCAGTAGCTGTATAATGGTGCTTCTGAATTGGCTTTCTGACATTGAAGTGTAATCCAGATTTTGTAACTCTGTGGGAAAGAGGGCTGTTTCTGATTCTTTCTTTTGAAGTGAGGTTTTCCTTCTAGTCATTTTGCTCAGTGCAGAGTGGCCAAAAACAAGTTGTATTGGAACACGGGGGAGTATCACTGGTCCTTCTAGCTGGTCTTCTGGGGGAGGGGCCTGTTGCACTGATTCTCAGGTGTTAGCACTTGGGGGAGCTGCTCTGCCCCTGCCTGCTGCAGGGCTCAGCGGGGGTTGTTTACCCCGTGGGGCCCCAGGAGGAACAGCAGCAGTTGCTATGGCAGCTCTGGAAGCCTGGATTCAGCCTCTGCAGGAACTACGGGGCTCGGGGCTCTCGGTTCTCCGTCTGCAGGGCCTGGAGGCTCCGGGGCGGGGCCGCTGATCTGCTCAGCTCGGGGCAGGAGCGTCCTTGCTGTCCTGGGCCCTCCCGGCCTCTGCCTGTCCCGGGGGAGGCCGGATCCTGGGCTGTGTCCCGGCGCCCTGTGCTCCGGGGCCTGCGCTGTGGGATTCGCGCTCCCGCCCTGCAGCTCCCTCCCTGGAGCCGCTCTCGAGCCCCTCCGAGCTGCTCCGGTCGGTCCCTCCGTGCGCGCTGCAGCCCTTAGGGAGCTCGGAGCACTCTCCTGCGCTCGCTCGCAGGTGTCTGTTAGTGTCCCCGGGAGCCCGAGGGCATCCCCGCTCTCCTGGGTCCTGCTCCAACTCCCTGCGAGCCCCTTTCCGCCCGCCCGGGAAGGTTGGTGCAGCTCCTGCTCCTCCGGGACGGGGCTCACCTGTCCTGGGGACACTCGCCCCGGCCTCAGCCCGGCTCCTC